CCACCCAAACTCACCTTCTCCTTCTCCATCCCCTCCCCACCATTATCTTCCCTCATCTTCGCCTCAAACTTCCTGAAGGGGGACTCCTTGCCCCCTCCAGCTGTTCCAAAAGCTTCCCCCTCCTTCTTCGCCCTCGCCTCCTCCGCCACCTCCCTCCGGGTGGCCCTCATCAGCTTCGGCACGGCCGGCTCCCTGATGGCCTTCAACCGTGCCAGCTCCTCCTTCCTCGGCTTCAACGCCTCCACATTGGCCCGAATGGTGGGAAAGAAGGCCGCCTTCAGACACTGCGAGCGAATCACATCCAACCCATCCTCGCCGTACATCCACTGCACCACACTGCCCTCCGAATCGCGCACCGTCAGGTCGTAGTTGACCACCAGGCCCTCGAGGTGCTTGATCAGACAGCGCTGGAGGTACCCCGACCGGCTGGTCTTCACCGCCGTGTCAATCAGCCCCTCCCGGCCGGCCATGCAGTGGAAGAAGAACTCCTGGGGGCGGATGCCGGTCAGGAAGCGCCCCGTGACGAAGCCGCCCGCCCGGGGGTGTGTCTCGTAGGGGCGGAAGCTGGGCAGCGTCCGCCCGCTCATCATCAGCGGAATCCGCCGCCCCTCCAGCTCAATCTGCCCGAGGAGGGCGCTGATCTGGATGGCGTTCACCGACCCTCCCTTTGCCCCCGCCTGGATCATCATCTGCAGGTTGTTCGAGGGAAAGGGCTTCACCAGCCCCTTCGGGAGACAGGCGCCGCTGATGGCATTGCTCAGCGTGTCAGTGTGGCTCTTGTAGGCGGCATCGAGCTGCTTGAGGTAAAAGTCATCGCGGCTTGTGGCCGCAAAGGCCAACTTCTCCTCGATCTCCCGCTCGGTGAGCTCTTCGCCAGCGGCGAGCGTCGAGCCGAGGTTAAAAGCATCGGCCACCGCCTTCGTGCCCAGGTCCTTGGCAGTGCGAATCAGCCGGCGGCGTTCCTTGTTCGGCTTCGCCTGCACCAGAATGTCGTGGATGCCCAGTGTAAAGCCGTGATGCGACTGGAGGAAGTTCGTCGAGAGGCGGGCGATGGAGGTGAGCAGCCTAAATAAAATAAAGTTAGTTTTAATCATCATAAAGCTAATGCCTATATTTACCTCGTATGAACATCCCCGCCGTAGAGCTCATAGCAGACGTGAATCAGCCCATTCTTGTTCGCCCCAAAATTGACCTTGTCCATGACGCCCTGCAGCAGCTCCCCTCGCCGAAAGACGACCACACTTTCGCACATCTCCTTATCGCCAACCATAAAATATCCTCCTCCCTCCTTCGGCGGCCGACTGATAAACATCTTCGCGCCAATCTTCGACTCAATCTCAAAGGAGGGCAGCGGCCGGCCCTCGGGCACCAGGTTCATCACCAGCGTGCTGATGATCTGCTTCCCAGACCAGAGCTGGGCGGGCCGGAGAATGGAAGGGGGCAGGAAGCGAATGGGCCGGTTGGTGAAACTGAGCGCTCCGTACACCAGCTGCTGGTAGTCGCCCTTGTTGAAGAAGCGCCCCCTCACGGTGAGCATCACCCCCGCGACAATGTGGTCCTGGATGAGCCCACTAAGGGGCGAGCCGTCCTTGGGCACCAGAAATTGGTAGTTGACGGAGGCCACTCCATAGGCCTCCGCCCTCGCCAGCTCCGACTGCGGAAAGTGGGCGTTCATCTCGTCGCCGTCAAAGTCGGCGTTGTAGCACTTGCAGTTGGCGTAGTGCAGGCGGAGGGTCTTCTCCCGTGGGAGGACTCGCGCCTTATGCGCCATTATGGAGGGCTTGTGCAGCGTCGGCTGACGGTTGAGAAGGAGGACGTCGCCGGAGAGGAGGTGCCGGTTCACCGTCTGCACGCCCTTCATGCCTAACAGAGGGTTGGGTGGAAATAGCCGGAAAATGGTGGGAGTTTTAGAACTGGTAAACAAAACACTTCCCAAAAGACTTACCTTGCGCCAAACTGGGCGGATGAAGTGTTCCGGCCACCNCAGTTGGCGTAGTGCAGGCGGAGGGTCTTCTCCCGTGGGAGGACTCGCGCCTTATGCGCCATTATGGAGGGCTTGTGCAGCGTCGGCTGACGGTTGAGAAGGAGGACGTCGCCGGAGAGGAGGTGCCGGTTCACCGTCTGCACGCCCTTCATGCCTAACAGAGGGTTGGGTGGAAATAGCCGGAAAATGGTGGGAGTTTTAGAACTGGTAAACAAAACACTTCCCAAAAGACTTACCTTGCGCCAAACTGGGCGGATGAAGTGTTCCGGCCACCTCCCTCCGTTGGTCAACGCTGTCCGGCGACAGGCGGACGGTGTAGCCATCCTCGTAGGTGACCGAGAGGGCGCCCGGCCAGACCAGGGGCCCATTTAGAACCGCCTGCTGCAGCTGGTGGAGGTTCCACTGCGTCACCGGCTGCGGGTAGCTGAGGCGGCTGGCAAACACCACCGGCACGCCAATCTCGTCCACCATGATGTACGGGTCGGGGCTGATGACAGAGCGGGCGGCAAAGTTGACCCGCTTGCCCATCATGTTCTTCCGCAGCAGGCCCTCCTTCTTCTCCAGAATCTGCTTCACGCCCACCGCCTTGTTGTCGGGCAGGGCGTCGAGGCGGGCGTCGTAGAGGCGGTTGGCGAGAATCTGCAGCCGCTGCCAGCTGCCGTGGAAGCGGGCAATCGACTCGCCGCTGTTGTTCTTCTTCGCCGTCTCCAGCGCGTACTCGAGGCTCTTCGCGACGACCATCAGCTCGGCGAGGGCCGAGGTGCGGTAGTGCTCAAAGGAGCGGCCGTTGAGGAAGCGAAGGGGCCGGAAGCGGTTCGGGCTGACGATGATCGTCTCCCAGAAGAAGACGTCCAGTGGACAAGAGCTGCTGCTGTTTTTGCTGCTGCCCTTGCTCATCTTCACCAGGTCCTCCTCCACGTCGAGGTTGATGAAGGGAAAGATGCGCACCAGGGTGTCCTTCTCGTGGGCCCAGAGGCGGCGCAGGTGCTCCCGGGCCTGCGCCGGCGTTAGGTAGGACTTGCCCTTCATCTCGATGTTGATCCCGGTGGCGTTGTTTCCTCCCTCGGTGCTGTCATTTGAGTCCTCGTTGTTGCCGTTGAACTTGGCCACCGAGGCGGCCGCCTTGGCGGCACTGAGGACAATCAGCGAGCGATTGATGACGTTCATGCCTGCCTTGCGGGCATTGCAGCTGTGGCAGACCTTCCCCGGCTTCACCAGCTTCCCGCCGATGAAGTCCTTGAAGAGGTGCTGCTTCTTCTCCACCACGTTCTTCGAGTTCATGATTTCCACTGATTCGAGGGTAACGAGGGGCACTCCATCAGATTTGACCTGAGAAGCAGTTGAGGTGCTCGGTTTTGAAGAAGAGGACGATGCTTGCGATGTTTCCTCTTCCGCAGCAAACAGCTTCTCCTTGTTCGACTTGAGCAGCGAGTACTCGCTGTTGATCTTGTCGTTCAGCCGCCCGCGCAGGTAGGTCTGCCCCTCGGGGCTGTTCCAGTCAAATTGGGCGTTGATGCCCGTCAGCTCGTTGGCGTACTCCTGCAGGTCGTCGAGGACAAAGTCGAGGCCGAGGTTCAGCGCCCGCAGCTGGGCGATGTACACCTCGACGTTGGCGCGCGAGAAGAGAAAGTGGTGGCAGTTGAAGCAGAACATTCGCAGCACCTAAGAACGTATTTTTTAGTTGTTAGAGTTTTCTACTTTATAACTCTCTTATACCTGAAAGAGCTGCTTCATCAGAAAGGGATTGAAGACGGGCAGCGGCAGGCCGATGTGGCCAAAGTGGCCGAGGCAGTGCGAGTCCGTCAGGCCGCATGTCTTGCAGAAGTCGTTCCGTTTCAGTGGACCTGAGATGGTTAAAGAAGTTATTACTCTGAGTGAATTCACAAAACACTTACCGAAAGAGGTGTCTGCGAGGCCGTTCTCAATCGGATGGCCCAGCGGATCGAAGGTGGTGGGAT